AGGTACATGCCCTTGACCAGAATCGAACCTGGGACCCTTGAGTCCGCAGGCCGATGCTCTATCCATTGAGCCAAACCGGTCAGGGCATGAAAAGACTTTTTATCATCACCCTAGAACAGGCTCAGAGAGAGAGAGAGAGAGAGAGAGAGAGAGAGAAAGATGAGAGAGAAACATCAATCCACTGCCACCTGCACTTGCCCTGACCAGGAATCAAACCTGCAACCTAGATTGTGCCCTGACTGTGAATTGAACATACATCTTTCTGGTGCATGGGACAACAATCCAACCAATTGAGCCACCAACCAGGGCAATGTGAAAAACATTTTAATTTATAAAACCTTCAGTATGTACACATTTGATCTATGTAAAGATGATCATTAAAATCAAGAATTTTATCTGATAGAATTGTTTTAGGGATTTTATTCTTTTTAAATCAAAATATACTCTGTAAAACAGCAGTCGCCAACTGGTGGTCTGAGTGGTCCATGAGGTTGGCGACCGCTGCTTTAAAATGTGCATCGGGGCTAGTTCTATTGTCCTGTCCTACTCAACACTTAGCCCTAAATTTATGCAGATTCATAGAAATGTAGGGAATTACATTATTCTCGAATAATGTTTGATCTGATAAGATGGCAGTGTAATGTAGTAGCTAAGAACTTCAACTCTGGAGTCAGCCAGCTTAGGTTTGAATCCCAACCCTATCACTAGCTACGTGACATTGGGCAGATCCCTTTTCTGTTTCTCCACCACAATTTTTATTTTTGTAAGATTAAATGAAAATGTGAAGGTTTAGCAGAGTCTGGCATATAATAATCTCCCATTATGCTGGCTGCTATTCTTGTAAACATCATCATCAATTTCTAAGAGTTGATTTTAATTGAGATCAGAATTGAAGTCTATTAGATTGCACTAGGTTTCTATGGTTGCTTCATAAGCCACCAAACACTTAATTGTTTAAAACAACAACCATAATAATTGCTAGCTCACAGTTCTTTGGTTTGGTAACTTGGACTTAGCTCAGCTGGGTGCTTGGGCTGGGCTGAGCTCCCCTATTCTTGGTTGGGCTTGCTAACATATCTGGGGCCTCCTTCTGCTTGGTCTCTCATTCTCAAGTGGGCTAGCCTGGGGCTATTACATGTGTCAGTAGACTGCCCAGCTGGAAACTGGAAGAGGCTTGACCTCTTGAAGTCCAGACTCAGGTTTCTAACACCAAAGTGTCATTTCGGCTGCATTCTACTGGTCACAAGGTTAGCCCAAATTTAAAAGATGGGCAGTAGTGTTAAGTTCACTTTTTGTTGGGAGTTGCTACAGGGATTCTGATTTTTTAATCTACCATATAGACTAACAGGAAACTGTTTCATGCTGACTGAGATCAACAGATTGACTATTGATAAGGAATAAGAAAGATTATAGTTAAATGTCAGCATTTTTAAGACTCAATAATATAGCGTATTCATAAAAATAAATTAGTTTTTATACAATTGAGAACTAAAACTTAAAAAATACTCTCAGAAATTAAATTTGTCTTGTTTTTAGGAAATTTTCCCTTTTAGGGAAATTATAATAAGAATATTTGTAATTATTTTTTCAATTCTCCCTAAAAGGTAAAACTACTTAAAAAGTAACCAAATATGCCCAGCTGGTGTGGCTCAGTGTTTCAGGTTGACCTATAAAGCAGAAGGTCATGGTTCGATTCACGGTCAGTGCACATGCTTGGGTTGCAAGCTTGATCCCCGTCGGGGCGCATGCAGGAGGCAACTAATCAATGACACACTCATCATTGATGTTTCTATCTATCTCTTCCTCTCCTTCCCTCTCTGAAATCAATTAAAAGTTTATATTTAAAAAATAACCAAATACTATTTTTCTACCTTCCCCAAATTAACAAAGGACAGTTTTTTAAGTTTGCAAACTTGCTATATCATATAGCATTCATCCTATTTAATCTCAGATGGTATATTAATAAGAAGTGAAATAATTTGTGTCAAATACAGTATGTCAAGCACTATGATAAAAACTTTCATTCCTATGAAGAATTGAATTCAGGATTCATATACTCTTCTGCCTGAGTTGTTTCTAAATAAAGGTAGGTTGTTAAATAAGCCAAGTCTAGACAGAATCTAGCAACTTTGCTTAACCTAAATATACATTTATTTACAATGTTTTATTTAATTAAACTACAAAAATTAAATGCAATAATTTTAGGGTTTCTTGAACTAAATTCTATCAGAAGTAAAAATGCAGTGATCCATAGGCACAGATCTTAATTTCTGAAAATTCTTTTACATATATTTTAATTTCACATAGGTTACTCTCAGCTTTTCATTCTTAATAATTAGGGTCTTTAATTATTTCTTTAGTTTATGTGAGCTGAAACAGCAGAGAAGAAATACAACAGTAGGCCAAAAGACAGTGAATCTTAAAAAAGTGATTCTACCTTATTTTCAAGGGCACTTTTGAGTCTTTTTTTAAAATATATTTTTATTGATTTCAGAGAGGAAGGGAGTGGTATAGAGAGAAACATCAATGATGAGAGAGAATCATTGATCAGCTGCCTCCTGCACATCCCCCACTGGAGATTGAGCCTGCAACCCAGGCATGTGCCCTTGGCCAGAATCGAACCTGGGAGGGACCCTTCAGTCTGCAGGCTCTACCCACTGAGCCAAACCAGCTAGGACCATTTTTTGAGTCTAAATAGAAGTCTCAGTAAAAAATTTAACTCACTAGTACTTGCATGACATGAACAGTTTTTTATTCTTTTGCATAGTATGTCGGGATGAGAGTTTTAGAAAACTAGGATATTGTGTGTTTTTTTAAATATGTTCTTATTGATTTTTAGAGAGAGAGGAAGGGAGAAGGATAGAGAGAAACATCAATGAGAGAAAGATCGCCGGCTGCCTCCTACATGCTCACTACTGGTGATTGATCCTGCAATCCAGGCATGTGCCCTGACCAGGAATTGAACTGGTGGTGCCCTGACCAGGAATTGAACGTGTGACCTCTTGGTTCCTGGATCGATGCTCAACTGCTGAGCTACACCAGCCAGGCGCAACTAAGATTCTTGTGCTATTAAAAGCACAATGTAAGGGGGGTAAGAGATCAACCAAAGGACTTGTATGCATGCATATAAGCATAACCAATGGACATAAGACACTGGGGGATGGGGGAGGCTAGGGGACTGTCTTGGGCGGGGGGAAAAATGGACACATATGTAATATCCTTTGTAATAAATAATAAAATTTAATAAAAAAAAAAAGCACAATGTAAAATCATTGAAGAATAGTATCTTGGGTTGTTTGGTGTATTGAAGTATAATTATATTAGTATCTTAATAGTTCATTTGTATTGATTCTGGTTAAATTTATACTTCTTAATCCTGGCTTTACAAGCTTCCCAATTATCTATGGAACATCTATAAGAAAGTTCCAGGCTTCAGATCTGGCAGGTGCCATCATAGCATTGGCCATGATGAAATCTTGCTGTTCATAATGGCAGATGTATAACAAAAAGTAACACACTAGCGCAAATCCAATCTTCTGAAGTTGATTTTTAAATGCTAATGTTTTATCTTTATTAGGAGACAGCAAATCCAATCTTCTGAAGTTGATTTTTAAATGCTAATGTTTTATCTTTATTAGGAGACAGAAATCCTAGTTTAAAACTCATTCAGCAAGTTTGTATAAAGTGATATCTTGAAATAGGTAAACATTTAGAAAGCAGCAACAACAAAAAGTATAATCTTAGAAGCTGTTGTAAAAGAAATACTAATACTGTTTAAATTTATGGAAGTGATTGTTATAATCAAATATGAAAAATGAACACTAATTGA